GGGGGTTAAAGGATTTAGAAAATGTAATATTTATTTATTTATATTAAATGGCAGGCGTTTTGATAGTTATCATTAGCACTTTAGTTGACTTCGGGCTTCACAGAGGGGAGGGCGAATATCAAAGTGAGAAGAATTCAGGAGGGGAAATAGAAGAGTGAATCACAGATGTTTAAGAGACAGACAGACACAAAGGCTCAGAAAGGGTAAGATGGGTACTGTGGTATGGGTCGAATATGACATAAAATGGGGGTGATGGTTGTTTGAAGTGAGAAGTCAACTGCCGATTAATAGACTTTTTGCCGCATGAGTATATGTTGCCCAGGGTGCACCACGTGGAGGTAAGTGAATAGACGAAGGTAGAAAGGTAGAAAAAGGGTTAGTTGAGTGCTATGGAAGTGTTCGAATATGACATACAGTGGGGTGTAGGTAGTTTGAAGTCAGAAGTCAACTGCCGATTAATAGACTTTTTTTGCCGTATGAGGATACGTCGCCTTAGGTGCACCACGTTGAGGTAAGTCTATTGCACACCCGGAAGGTGTAATATACCCTCACACATATTTATTAATAGAAGGTGAAATTTTAAAGTCATCATTCAAATCAAAACCGTAGTGATTGGTTCAATGGAACATGAAGGTGTGGTTTATTCCAATGACTACTTAGTGATTAAAGGGCCAATTTTTATGTTAGAACATTTAGAAAGTACAAAATACCACGAACTCAAATAAAATGGAAGTTTATTAAGCATTTTCTACCCTTGTTCCTACAAGCACCTTTTCAGAAACGAATATGTTTTTGGGACAAAAATTCGCTTTGGTCATATTTCTGACAAGATGATATATTTATTCCCACTAAATTTACACGAAAGAGTGAGGGTAATTTTACCGATTTCTGTTATTTTATGTACAGGACGAGGATTGGCTGAGGGGTTTGTTAATCATTGGACTGGGTAATTCATTCTCAGTTTGTCCGCGGATTTCCTGAATCCAAATATCCAATGCGGTCATAAGGCGGTAAGTGGGGATATACATTGTTTCCTCGCGAGTGAAATGTGTGACCCCTGATGCGGCGTTCTCGCTTATGCTCCAATCCTCGTCCTCCTCGTCACTGGAAAAAAATTTCGGAATCTGGTGAAATTGACAACCCGAGGAGGCGCAAACGCTAGTCCTACCGGAATCGAGAGTCTTTTCACCAGAACCACTGCTGCTGCTGCTGGTGGTGGTGGCTGTTGTACAACTGTCACTGCTATTCGTGTTCGAGTGGAAATCCAATTTGGAGGTGGAAATTGAAGAGGAGCGAGTCGTTGTGGAAAGGCATCGCAGGGGGGAGTGGGCCTTTAGTAAAATGGACTCACTGGAGGCTGATTCTGTCATTGGGACGCAATTATGCGTCACCATTATCCAGAATTATCCAGATCTAGTCCTGCCACACTTTCCTACAGTTCAATTGGAAAAGAGCATAAAAAATCCTTGCAATCAACTTTGGATTATTAAACACATGTTAGTATATTAGATCACTTAAAAAATTCAGAGGATTTTCGGCTTATCAACTTTATTTATAATTCACATCGACTGTGCTTACTCTTTTGGTTGATATTCCATTAAATGTGCGCTGTACTTGCAATCAAATTTTCCAATGTACAATTAAACTAATTAGATTTTGAAAAATGCAGATTAAAAGTGTGATAAATTCACGTTCAACACATTTTTAAATGGCTTCCCTCGCTCTCTCTCTCTTAGCCAATAAGCAGTGCGCAGAAAGTGGTTATGGAAAGGTCAGAACAAAAATGTAATAAAATGGAAGCATACTGGCCGATCGAATTACTTTTTTACAGTAAAACAATTAAACTTTAAAGCCATAATGGATAGAATTTTGTTAAGAAAAGTATTCATTGTGTCTACGTATGAATAAGCCGTAACTAACGTGTTTTACTTGTTTCCAGAGAATTAATACTTTCATTGATTTCAAATCGCGATATAAAGTAAAATAGGTATGTTTGCTAACAAAGGAACAAAATGACAAGATAAATGGGGGCAATATATAATTTCAATAGGGTGTATGCGATAGACGTGGTGCATCCTGGCCAACGTATACACATACGGTAAAAAAGTCTATTAACCAGCAGTTGACTTCTCACTCCAAACTACCATCACCCCACTGTATGTCATATTCGACTACTTCCACAGTACTCACCTCACCTTTATTCTATC